CCTGGCGACACTTCTTTGTCAGATCTTCAGATTTTTCACAAGTGTTTGTCACTCTGTTCAACACGGAACCATCTGCACAACTTAGACAATACGATATGTTAAAACATGACACACAATTTGTAGAACACTTTTCACATGTTAAAATTAATGACAGATTTTGAAGGAAGTATCCATCTAAACATTTTAAACACCCTTTTGTTGTTTTAACATCACAATTTGTGTTATCTTCAATATTTTCACTTTTTGGTGTGCTTTTATTTGTTGTATAATAAGAGATATTATAAGAAAATGTATTCAGACGGTATTCTAATGTTGATTTTAACTTTGAAGCTTTTTTATAATCTTGTGTAAATATACATGTATTTTCAAAAGGGAAAAAATCACTAAGACATTCAACTGTTTGTGGGACATCTTGATTTGATTTTAAATATGTGTATTTTGAATTTACATCATCACTTCTTTTTGAACAAAAATGATTATTATCATTGTTTATATTTGTGTTTGTAAAATAATAACTATCAAAGCATTTGGTACATCGTTTACCATCCCCTGCATAACACGAAAGTTGTTTGAGTGATAAGCAATTCCCATTAATTGGAAGATGTGTATTTTCGCATTGAACGCATTTACAATTAACATCATATTTAACACAATTAGTAACAGAACAAGTTGTACAAATGTTGTTGATTATACTTGAAATTTGTTTGCATTTAACACAATCATTTGATTCAAACACACCGCAATTTGTCGATGTCATACACTTGTTTGATTTTAAATCCAAAAGTGAATTTTGTTCACATTTTATTATAAATATGTTATCATTAGATTGAACACAAGAAATTGATAACACGTCTTTAGAAAAGCATTTGATACAAAAATTGTTTGAGTCCAAATAGTTGTTGTTTTGACACTTAAAAACGTTTCCATTTTTAATCAAATTTTGTGTATCATCTTTCACACAAACTCCACTTGTTATTGTCGAGTTTTCTTCACACTGCAAACACGAAACTTTATTTGTTTGTGTTTTATAGTAATTACATTTTAAAGTGTCCAAGTCATTTTTTATTTGACAATTTCCAGTCGAAGAAATCCCATCACCACACTCTTCACATGTTATTTTACTTGTCTGCTGGCAAACTGAATTTGTGAATTGCACACATTTGACATTCAATAAATAATTTGAGGGTTGACATTTCAAACATTTTTTGTTGTCATTTTGTGTAGTGCAATTTGTTTCATAATTGTCACATTCTTTTGTGTTTTTGTTGTAAATTTTGTTTTCACACAAAATGCATTTTCCATTGACTAAGACATAAGGGGTATAACACTCTTCACACATGGCTTCATATTTTTGTTGGCTCATCAATGTTTCATTGTTTTTGCATACCTTACAATTTGTTATATTATTATAACAATACTCACATGTATTTACACTGCTTTGATACATTTGAAGTTGTGAAGGACAGACACACTTCCCATTAGATACTTCAAATGGACTGTTACATTTAATACAAGTCTTGGATGTTGTACTGCATTTGTCGCAATTCGGTATTTCTGAACAAGCAGCACATATCTTATTTGATGGGTAATACCCCTCGGAGCAATTTAAACAGCCACGCAGTCCATCACATATTGTATTACAATTTGAATCACATTGGTAACATAATCCATTTTCAAGATATGTATTATTGGTGCAACCTTGACAATCAGAAAGTGAAGTGCAGTCAGAACACGATGAGTCACATTTTGAACACGTTTTTGATTCTGGATAAAATCCTTTGTTACATGTGGTGCATCCCAAAGTTGGGTCACACGTTTTACACTCTTCTCCACAACTTTTACAAATGGAATTTTCAAGATAATAATTGTTTCCACAAGAAAGGCATTGGGTTGATGTCTGGTCACATGTCTTGCAATTTGAATCACACTTTTTGCACATTTTATCAGAACTATAGTATCCATCTACACAATCAAGACACCCCTCTGTGGTGCTACAATATGATGAAGTTGTTCCTTTACAATGTACATCACAAGCAACACAATTGTAATTATTTAAATAAGTTCCCTGTTTACATGAGGTACAATTGGTTGAAATCACATCACAAGTCAAACATATTGAATCGCATTGATCGCATATTTTATTATATGCATAATACCCGTCAACACACTTTGAACAGCCAGTGGATGTGTCACAGTGTGTACTTGAATCAACACATTTTGAGTCACAAGACAAGCATTGATAGTTGTCCAAATAAGTTCCTGTTTTACAACTGAGACAATTAGAAGACAAATCTCCGTAACACGTTCTGCATTGACTATCACAACTTTTACATATTTTTGAATTTACAAAATAGCCAACAGCACACTTAGTACATCCCTGGATTACATCACAATTAGTTGGATTATCAACACAATTGATATCACACGTTTTACAATTGTTACCATCGAGATATCTCCCCAAATTACAACTCAGACAGTTTGATGAGGAATTGCCGTTACATGTATAACATGTATTATCACATACTGAACATCTTTTGTTGTTCACATAAAAGCCATCTTTACATTGAGTACACCCACTTGATGAAGTGCAGTGTGTTAACGTGTCAATACAATTTGAATCACAGTCAATACATTGATGTGTCGAATCATTCAAGTACAATCCACTTGCACAAGAGAGACAATCAGTCGATGTGGTGCCACATGTTAAACAATTTGTATCACATTTCAAACACCTTTTCCCACTTTTATAATATCCACTTTTGCACTTCGTACAGCCATCTTCTTGTAGGCAATACCCAACTTCACAATAACCTTCTTCACATGTGATACATTTGTTATTCTCAATAAAACTGTCATTGTAACAACTTAAACAACTGGTGGACACAATATCACACGTTTTACAAGTAACACCACATTTGGTGCATCTGTAGTTTTGAGGGAAATAGCCTTCAATACACTTAGTACAACCATTAACAGTACTACAATACCCATATGCACAATTTGGATCACAGTCATTACAAGTTTTGTTTTGGGCAACGAAATATTTCCCACTTTTACAGCTCAGACAACTTGAAGAAGTCCCCCCATTGCATGTATTGCAATTAGAATTGCATGGTGAACACATTTTGTTGTTGATATAAAACGCATCTTTGCATTTTATGCATCCATTGATGTTGTGACAACTTGGTCCCAAATCAAAACAGTTTGAGTCACATGACAAACATTGCCCATTTTCAAAATATCTTCCACTTCCACAACTTAAACAATTTGAATCTAATGGACCACTACACGTTTCACAAGTCGAGTGACATGTTTCACATAGTCCTGAGTCAAGAAAATTGAATCCAGTAATACAAGTGCAACTTTTGTAATGCACATAACCATCATCACATTTGATGACTTCACCTGCAGCACAATAATAGCACACAAAACTTTTATATCCAAAAAGTTTTGAGCCATACGGTATAGCACTTGAATTGACTGTAATATAATTGACGTATAGTTCTTTGTTGAATGTGAGTTTGCATTCATTCTGAAAAATGAGTTTATTAATAGACATATGTGCATTGAATGTAATTTGAGAATTATTACTTAATGAAAGCACTTTTAAGACTATTATACCAGTACCGGTTTGATGGTATATCAAGTTTTCTACGTTTTCTTTTACAATCAAAGTATACCAATAACGTTGGATAAAAGTCCACTGTGTTCCAGCAGTCAAATCCAAATCGAAGTACGTTGAATTGTTCGCACAGTCTGGAAAGTCAAAAGATGAATTAACCAAATTAATAGTTTTTGGAATACATCCACACACTTTATTAGTTATATCCTCAGTGTGTACAGTTGATACTAACATATACCGATATATTGGATCGTGATTGCAAACAACAGCTACTTGATAATTACTAAAAGAGTAGCTATCTACAAAAGTAACACTGTTGGTATTAATTTTACCAGTGAAAAGGTACATCCCAACAGATAAAGATGTCAAAAACGCGAAAGACTTTAAAGATATTTCGACACTTTGAGAAACATTACCATCAATGTAAACAAGAGGTGTTACAGTCGACAAATCTCTTGTATATACAATTCTAAATTTTTCATCAATTCTTGCAAATAAAACAACACCTTTGTCTGAGACATAAATATATGGATTTGCATTGGAATATTGAAAAGTACGACAGCCAGTAGAGCTCCCAAAACATCCAAAAGTGATGATTAAATTGTTTGGTCGATTTTCCTCTTCAATGAACATTCGTTCAGCCAATTGTCGATTTCGATAAAAGAGACATTTCATGTTGATTCCAGACGTAAATCTGAAATATCTATCAACGGCTTTTAAATACATTGGAATTGCAGTGTCGTCGAAAGTCTTCATTGCGTTGGTACAACATTTTGCAGTGAAAGTAAATACATCAGGGTAATTGTATACACCAGACCATTCGGTCGAATCAACACCTTGATCATATCGAATTTCATTGTTTACTTCTCCCCAATACCCATATGAAAGTCCTATCAATAGTAACGATAAAACAGCCATTTGTAATAATTTGCTTTGACAGTCCACCAAATTTTAAGAGAAAAAAAAAGACTGTTGTTGTTTTTCAAAAAAAACATATAATTTAATAAATGATAATATTATTATAATTAAATAATGGCGATTTTTTCTTGGGTTCATGATTTTTTAAATGAGGTAATTAATTATTTTTGTGGGATTTTTAATAAATAAAAAGGTAAAAACAATAAACAAATCTTTATTAACTATTCAATTTCTTGTTGAAATTCGAAATAGAAATTTCTGTTTTTTTAAATTTGTTAAACTATTTTATTAAAAGTAAATTATCAAGGAAATTTACTAATTAATAAAAGAGTGTGTTTTGAATAAATAAAATAGATTTTTAGATTAAAAGAATCGTTGGCATAATTTTAAAAATATAAATTAAGTCTGTGCTTGTTGTTTTCAGTAGAATAAATAAAATATTGTTATTAAATTTATTAATAATAATATCGAATTCTGTAATATAGTTGGGATATGCCTTTTTCACCTGCTCCAAAAATAATATATTATGGATTTAAAATTTTTTTCTAAAAACAAAGAAAGTGTGAATGGATTAAAACTAATTATGAATAACTTATTATGCTTTACAGACACCTCATGTTAGTGGAAACTGAGTGACACAAAGAAATAAAAAAGTCTCAAAACACGCACTCAAATAGTCTATTTATGCACCATTTTCACCCAGTATCTAACCTTTTTCTTTACATAAATTACTTGAACCCCATACTGCAAACAACAAGAAAGCAGGTGGCCACATTTATAACCACATTGTATGTACAAGGAAATTGGGATATATGGGAAGAAACAAAACGTGGTTGATTTGTTTTAAATAAATAAACTAAACAGCATTTTTGACTTTATGATTTTTCCCGATTATTTCCATATTTTTAAACATAATAATAACAGGGTGTAAAAGGTTAATTTTTATAATGTTTTACATTTTGTGAATTGCACAATAATTATCGTTTTTTGAAAAGATTGGGTGTTTATAATAAATATAGTGTATTGGTTTAATGTTTTCTTGCCAAAAGTATTAATAAAAAATTTATTTTAATCACTGTAGTAAACTATTAAAGAAATAGTGGTGATATACAAGATTAGTTTTCTTAAACCAACACATAGTGTTTTTTGTTGAAGTGATCAACATCACTTAGTTTAAAATTATATATATATTTGATACTGATATATTATGACAATAAAAAAATGATTTCTTGATATTCATCAACTTTTGTAAATTAAAATTTAGTAACTTTAACTAAAACAATAAATGTCAAAGTACAAAACTAAACTTCTTTTTAATCATTAATGAAATTATTCATTAACTTTGAAAATAATAAATTAAAATAATTAAAATTTTTAATATACACTATTAAAAGTTAATAAAGGTCAACAACAACCAAAAAATGATTACAGATAGTAGAAAAATAGGGTGTCAGGAATAAATTGCGTGTCAAATAAATTAGGGATTAGTTAATGTAAAAAAATGGGTTTCGTTTTTTTTTATTTTTTTCCCTACCAAAAAAAAATATGAAAAACCATTAAATAACTCAAAATCAATCTGACACCCAATTTATTCTTGACACCCAAATTTTCTACTATCTGTACAATAATTTAAAACTGTTTATGTAACAAACCAACTCAAATCATTAATAAGACCAATTTTTAATTATTCAATATAAAGTTTGTTTTTTTATTTAATGATATCAAGTTTTTATAATAAATTATAATAATATTATTATAATTTATTATAAAAATAAAATGGATTTTTAAAAATATATTTATTGTTATAACAAGTTATATAAAAAACATCTATGCGCATGGTAATTTGTTTATCATTAGTTTTAATTTGTGACAATTTTATTAATAGTTATAGTCGGGTGATAAAGGGGGTTAATTTGGGACAGAAGTAGTTAATTTGAGTAAAAAACTATAAAATATAATTTATTTAACCATAAAAGTATTAGAAGGGTTTTTTCAATTAACTACTTTGAAAATAATAAAAGAAAACCATAACTATCTATTTTTGATATTATTCAATCTTTGAAAACAATGGAAGAAGAAGAGAAAGGAACCCTTGATGAAACAACCACAGGCAATCAACATAAAAAAGCAATTTAAATACAAGAAACCAGTTTAAAAACTGTATTTCAATATATATTCATGATGTATATGGTTAAAATGCCAGAGTTTAATGAATTAACAACCGTGTCAATTTTTGAAAGTGTCAGGGAATCACTGAAAAATCATCATTTGTTATTTCAATCTTTCAATCTTTCGTTGTTGAACCATTTCCATTGAGAAAAGATAAGAGAAAGACCATTTTAACATAAAAACAATTGGAGTTGAAAAAGAGCAGAAAAGAAATGAAACAAAGGAAAAAACAAAGGAAAAATTCTTTAACAAAACAAGTTTCAGACAAACCATAAAAAGTGCTGCGTTTTAGACTTCCACATTTTTTAAGTGAACAAATTGAGGTGTTTTTGTTTATTTTTGAAATAGAAATTTATAATTATTCAATTTATAATCATTTAAAATAAAAAACGATAATTTATATTATTATTTTAATTTTATGTTTATTTTGACCTTTAAATAGATTTTTTAAAAATTATAGTTTCAAAATTATATTTATCAAAATTAACTACCTTTGTCCCTTTTTAATGCCATTTATCCCCCGACTATATTGTTTTA